ATCTGAATTATGGAACTGAAAGTGAAAGTAGTCAAACTGAATTTTTAATAAACTAAAATACAGTTTCAAAGCAAATTAATTCAGATTCACTTCCTGCTGGCACAAGGTTTATCCCACACTCAACATGTCGTACTGGTCTGACCTCAGAGCGATGCCCGGACCCTCCAGCAGGACCCCGTAGTCCCGGGACATCTGTTTGTTCAGGTCTGACAGCAGGGGGATGTGGATCTTACCCAGACCTCCGGCCTTCAGGAAGATCATAAAACCAGGATGACTCAGACGGACTCGGTTCTGTAAGTTACTGAGGACCGGTTCTGTTCTACCTTTCTGGGCGTGTTGGTCCAGGCCAGGTGGGTGAAGTGGGAGTCCACGGACACGCCCACCACGGCGCAGTTCACGTCGTGGAACTCGTTGGCCTTGTCGCTGAACGAGATGATCTCCGTCGGACAAACGAAGGTGCTGCAGTAAACAGGAAACGGCGTCAGGACCCTCTGCAGGTCCATGCCTGACCCTGACCCCACACGGTACACGAGTACTCACAAGTCCAGCGGGTAGAAGAACAGGACCAGGTACCGCCCCCTGAAGTCGGACAGACTCATGTCCTTGAACTCACCGTTGACAACGCCGGTGGCCTTGAAGGCGGGGGCCGGCTGCGTGACGGCGGCGGCCCACCTGGACAGACCTGATAAACACGAGTCGAACAGTTTGACTCGTTATAGTTTTATATATGTGTGTGTGTGTGTGTGTGTGTGAGAGAGTGAGAGAGTGTGAGAACCGGATTCAGCTCGTACCGCTGGAGAAACATCTGTGGGATGAAGAAGAGCTGAAGACTCCATGTTGACGAGCAGCTGAGACTCTCAGCCCTGCAGCTGCAGCCTGCGCCTAAACAACAATAAACAAACAACAATAAACACAAACAAATAAACAACAAACAATACTGAACTGATCAGAACCTGCAGGCTAAAAAGCAAGACTCACATTCATTACAGCTGTTATGTTAGCCTGCAGCTACTTCAGGTTATATTTAGCTACTTTTAGCTTAATGTTTATATATTAAATTCCAGTTAATGTTCCTTTTTTATTTAGCTTTTAGCTATTGTTCTGCTTCTTTTAGCTTCTAGCTAGTCATCTGCTACTCTTGCTAATGCTAATGTTTTATTTATTTTAGCTTCTAGCTAGTGTCGCATTTTAGCTTAACTTTTCTGTTAATTTTGGCTTCTACTTAGTGATCTGCTACTCCTAGCTTCTAGCTGGTGTTCTGTTAGCTTTATACTAGTATTTTGATACTTTTAGCTTCTAGTTAGTTTTCTGTTTTATTTTTGTAGCTTAACTAGTAATTTGTTACCTTTTAGCTTCAAGCTAGTGTATTGCTACTTTAAGCTTCAATCTACTTTTAGCTTCTAGCTGGTGTTTTGATTATTTTAGCTTCGAGCTAGTGTTTTGCTAATTGTAGCATCTAGCTAATGTTCTGTTTCTTTTAACTTCTAACCAGTAATTTGTTATCTTTAGCTTCAAGCTAGTGTATTGCTACTTTAAGCCTCAGTCTACTTTTAGCTGCTACCTGGTGTTTTGATTCTTTTAGCTTCAAGCTATTGTTCTGCTACTAGCTTCTAGATAGTGTTTTGCTAATTGTAGCATCTAGCTAATGTTCTGTTTCTTTTAACTTCTAACTAGTAATTTGTTACCTTTAGCTTCAAGCTAGCGTTCTGTTACTTTAAGCTTTAGTGTACTTTTAGCTGCTACCTGGTGTTTTGATTCTTTTAGCTTCAAGCTATTGTTCTACTAGCTTCTAGCTAGTGTTTTGCTAATTGTAGCTTCTAGCCACTGTTCTGTTTCTTTTAGCTTCTGACTAGTATTTGGCTAATTTTAGCCTTAAGCTAGTGTTCAGCTACTTTAAGCTTTACAAACAAGGTTCAGCTTTTTCTTCAGTCATTTAGCGCTTCGTGTTTACACGAACAAAAATATTTTTAGTTAAAAAAATATATATAAACGCAGCTTCAGTTATCCAGAGTTTGTTCAACATCCTGCAGGAAAAAAACTGATTCTTCATCTTTGACTGGATTTGTTTTATAGTTTATAAACTGATTGAAACAGCTTCAAATAAAAAAAAATAATTGTTTTATCAGTTTAATAAGAAAAATATTATTTGCTTACACTGTTTTTCTTTTAATAAAGACATTTCCTTATCTTAAAAAACAGCTTGTAACCCTGACCTGAGGACAACTCTGGTAAAACTAGTTGTAATAAACGACTCTTCTGTAGAAACCAGTCCCTCCGAGGGCCCGCGCACCAGCACTTAGAAAACAAATCAAACATTAAAAACTAGCAGTCTGGTACCGACACCGGGTCATACCGAGCCACGGGCTCTGTAATACAGTCAGATCAGATCATWTATTTGGGTCAGACTCACAGAAGTACGGAGCAGTCGAACCGCGGTGGCCGCCATCTTGGATTATGTCACAGGAAGCGGTTTGAACAGGTCACTGAGGCGCGTGCTGCTGACATTTAAAAACGGTAAAATTTAAAACTAATCACTGGTTTGAAAATGTTTTAGCTTCAGAAATATTAGTAAGAAAGCACTGAAAGATGAAAAAAAATTCCAAAAAAAAAAAAAGCGTCAACGTAAAGTCATGCTGCCTTCAGGTTCATCCTCAAAGTGCGGGAAAAATGTTTTTCAGAAAATTTTACTGTGAAAACAATAAACCTAAACTCAAAACAACGAGTTTTTATTAATAATAACAATGTAATTTTATGTTTGACTTAAATATTTATAAATCAAACATGTTTTAAACCTCGAAACATAAAAATCGCACGTGAACATGAAGAACAACTAAAATGTCCGATAATTTGAACGTGTCATGAATCTACCACCGTGATCACGTGACTTAAAGCGGAAATGTTTTCTAAATTTGACCTCAAAGCATGGGCTGGACGCGTTTCAGTGTGTATAAAATGGTTGTTTTTATTTAATTTATTATAAATTTTAGTTGTTTAACTTGTAATGGATCCTAACCTGCTGCAGTGGAAAACTCTCGGACAGGTGAGCGACTTTAAACACATCAGAGTTAATAAATGAATTATTCTGGATTCTTTGACTCATCTTCGGGTCTGTCTTCAGTCTTTTGTCCAGCGGCTGCACACCTGGTTCCAGGTGTTGGACCCGTCCCTGCTGTTCTCCTCACATGTAAGTTCAGGTGTGTCTGATGATGCTGGTTCTGTGACAGACAGGTGTGTTTACCTCCTCCTCATCCTCCTCTTCCTCAGGCTCAAATCCAGAAGGCCCACGAGGCTCTGGCTGCAGGTGAGCAGCTGAATGAAAAGGTGAGTTTGATTTATTTACCTGCAGAGTTCTGACAGAACTCAGGTGTTTCACAGATTCTGCTTCCTGTTTCAGGAGAAAGCTGCAGTGATCCTCTCCCTGGTAAGACTCACCTGTCCTCACCTGTCCTCACCTGTCCTCACCTGACCTCACCTGACCTCACCTGTCCTCACCTGACCTCACTGACCTTTTCATTATTTCAGAATAAAACATAACAGTTACTTCTGGACAAGAACCAGATGTTTACCCAGAATGCACTGCGGCTAGCAGCTCCTCCCAGCCGTTAGCGTTGGGGGTGGGGGTTTCGGTGCGCAGCTCTGTGTCTTCTGAATAAATGAAAATGATTTAACACAGTTGTTTATACTTTTAGCAGCTCTTTTTAT